CAGATTAGCGCTGGCTGTCAGCCGCTTCGGGTTTTGCTTTGCACCATCGAAATGCAAAGCGTTCCTCCAAGATTGGCAGGGATCGCCTCCTGCGCTGACCCTTGGTGGGGATCAGCTAGAAGTCGTTCAGAAATTCAATTACCTGAGAAGTTGTATCAGCGCCCTTGGGGTCGAAGACGAGATCACGAACCGTATAGCGAAAGCTCAAAGTGCTTTTGCTAACCTTCGCCACCTTTGGCGGCGGCGCGACATCACTCTCGCCCTGAAGGGTAGAGTGTACAATGCAGCGGTATGTTCGACCTTACTGTACCGTTGCGGAACCTGGTCCCTAAGATCGGCGGACATAAAGAGGCTAGTTACGTTCGACCATCAATGCCTTCGCAGTTTGGCTCACATCTGGTGGGAACACCGCGTGAGTAACGAGCTTGTTCGACGCCTTGTTTACGGCACAGGAAAAGGAACTGAACCGCTCAGCACCATCATTTCAGGCACTAGGCTCCGATGGTTGGGCCACGTGTTGCGCATGCCAGCCCATCGACTTCCACGACGTGCGTTGTTTGCTCACCGGAGATGTGGGTGGAAGAGGAGGGGTGGCCAAGCGATGACTTGGTCAAGAGGAATGAGGCCCTCTCTTCTGTGCTGGCCTCGGAGCGTCACCGCTCCCTGGTTGGAGTCCAAGACGGTGGACACGTTTTGCTGGATACACTTGCTGATATGACAAGGAGCCGACCTCAGTGGCGTTTCTGCTGTGAGTTTCTTTGTCCCACCCCATCCCTCTTAGCCTCCCCCTCCACTACTATCTCATTTCTTAGCGTAAAACATAATTTTTCTTTTTGCCTAGTAGCCGGCTGGCAGATCACCGGAGCGATGCCTATCCGTTGCTAGTAGCTCAGCTGGCATGCGACTTTTGTATTTATTTTCCTTTTTCATTTATGTATTGCGGCACAGTAGCTGAGGTGTTTCCCGCTAGCTGCCGTGTATAATGATGATGATGATGACTTTCTCACTTCGTCTTCAGCGTTTGAACTTGTTCTCCTTAGCTTATCTTCGAGATCGTTGGGATTTGATTTTCACACGACGTGTCATTGGAGGTGAACTTAGAGCTGAACTGCATGATTTTTTTCCACTCAGTTCGACTCGGGGTCACCAATTGCAAATTGTTTAAATAAGGGAGACCTCGAGTCCGCTGTGACGTCATTTTATCTACCAGGGTAGAGAGCGAACGGAACGATCTACCTTTGTATGTCCTTGATGCGCACTCGGAGGATTGTTTCAAACATCGTTTGGATTCTTACCTGGCGAGTAATTTCAGATCTGGTTGCTTCCTGTTTCAGTGCAGCGGTTCGCTCAGTACCGACTTGCAATGCCCACTTTGATCCTTGTGACGAACGGGAGTCAATGGTGCTGACAAAGGATTTTTCCTTCTGCTCCACATTCCAATTATCCAATGATATCCTACCACAGAGGATCGCGGACAGCCATCACAATATTTGAGGATGTAGCCCAAACCTGGTCATCTTTTCCAGCAGAAAGCGGTGGTTTACTGAGTCAACAGCTTAACTGAAGTCAACATATTTCTATCGAACTCCCGTCATCAAGGCACCGGGTTATTTTATTAAGGAAATCTATGCTATTCCGCTTTGATCAAGTTATGTCCCGTGAGATGCTCACAGATTCGATCTCTGATGAGCTTTTCCAGACACTTGAAAATTACGCTGGTCAAACTAACAAGCGTGTAATTATTTGGCATTGATTTAGGACCCCCTTTATGAATGGTCACTACAACTGTCTCCTTCCAATCCTGTGGTATGCTTTTTTCATGAAGACATTTTGTAAAATTCAAAGATAACTAAAGAATATCGGCACTTAGCTTTACAATGGCTGGGTGCACATCATCAGAGCTTGAGGATTTGTAAGGGTTTATGTCTTTCAGAACAGAGAGGACATCTGCTGCAGTTATTTCGGTTTCCCCCATTTTTCCCTCGCTTTTGCGGTGGGGCTGCGAGGGGTCTGTTGTTGCTTCATCATATTACTATGTGGTTTTGAACCTTACCCACCCTTAATTTTACCTTATGTACTTATTAAAGTCTCAAGCTACTGTTTACACCCAGAATCTCGTCTCTATTTCGTTTTTTGGCAATCTGACTTACACTGCCTCAGCAAATGTGTTTAAGATAACAAATAAAGTCAACTGTACGCCTTGACGGCGCTTCGTCTCCGTGCGGCCCATGTGGTGTCATCCACTCATAAACTGTTAGCTTTTACTCCTACTACACCAGTTTTAATTGCTGGCCTGCGGGTTCGCTGAATCGCCTATGATGCTCTCAGTGCTAATATTGTCAGTCGTGTAAGCAAAGAGCGCCGCTTGTTCTCTCCGTATTGAAAGGGTTGTAGCAGCTGCAACAAATTTCGGCTACCTGCTGAGAGTATATTATTAATGGCTATGTTCTTCGGTTCTATATTACCTAGATTAAGTATTCGTTGCTGATTTGTTCATTGCAGACTGCAATATTCTCTCGGACATCTGTAGATGGTTACATCCTTGGTATGCTACTGCTGGAGTGGGAGCACCGCGTGAACAAAACGTGTTCGGCATAGCATATTTGGTGCAGGTAGAGTTAGTTAACCAATCAACACCATTATATCACGTATCAGGCTCCGATTGTTAGGTCACATTTTGCGCATCCCGTGCACCGACTACCGCGACGTACATTTGCGCGCCCGGTGTCTTTATTTCCATCCATTGGAGGGAGGCCAGGCGGTGACTTGGTGTGAGGGAGTGAACTCCCTCACTTCGAAGCTGGCGTCGGTTGGTTTTTCCCCACTGCTTGACTGGAGTCCGAAGAATGATGAACACGTTCGGTTTGATACACTAGCTGCCATGATGAGAAGCCAACTCAGTGGCGTTTGTGTTTTGAGTCTCTGTCCCTCCCCTCCTTTTTAGCCCCCTCTCCAACAACTATTTCAGCCTAATGCATAATGTGGATTGAGCTTTTGTATTCTGTAATATTTTGTATTGTGGCACATTAGCTAATGTGTATGATGATGATGTGCCTCTGCTTGCGCACATCAACGCTGATGTTTTCTGTCTGAAGTACACTTGCTTTTCGTTGTTTCATTTTGACCGTTGCCAATCTCAGCCCCCTACCTAACCTCTATTCCGTAGTTTTGCACTAACCTAATTTACCAGGCAGGTCGATTATTTCGTACCGAATCTTATCAGTGGACCTTCTGTAAGTTGACGTTACTCGTCTTAGTGTCTCGGTTTTTCTGAATGTGCATGGACCACCATCTTCTGGTCCCCTTAGTTTCGCTGTCCTATATCGTCATCAACAACAGTGCATCAGTGCGAAACACTGACGCTCGATTGCTACCACAGAGATGAATAATGGTGATTGAAAGGCCGACCTCCAAAGCGCAATGACGTAGAGTTTGAATGTCGCTTGTTGCTTCGAGTACAGCAGAAGCACAGATAATCCCACAGAATTCCTATTTTCAGTGTATTTCTATTATGAATAGCCTTACATTCTATTGGAGTATAATATATCAGGTGACTAGCTGGCAGAATTGCGGCGCCATCGCGGTCCACCGCCCCATGTATGCTAGCTGCACCACGTAGTCAATGTGGTAATTAAACTACGCATCTTCTGTGGAGGCAGTCACTCACTTACGGAGCTCTTCCCACTGCATCAGCTGCGGTGCCTTGAAAATGAATTGCGCGTGGCCGTTCCTTGTTTTCCGCGTCGGGTGTTGTTCGCAGAGACTGCACAGAGCTGGAGGCGACGCCGTGGACTTAGAGAAGCAGCATAAAAAGGCTGACGAACCAATTAACCTCCGTCGGATGTTCTCGACTTCTTGGTCGGGATTTCAGAGACAGTATCACATGTGGAAGACCCTGGATGTCATGGTTTACAACCGACCTCCAACACAGAGTGCAAACCTGAATAAAAAGGCCTGTTTTTCTTAACCCTTTCCTGTCCTCTTATTCCGCAATGGTTTTGATGGCACCATATTTGTACGACCAATTGTGATATATATCACAATAGGAAAGCCAAGCGATGACTTGATCAAACGAAATGAAAGCTCTCAGTTGGCTTCGGTTGTAACCTCCGCTCCCTGGTTGTGGTCTGAAAGACAATGAACACGTTTGTCTGAATAAACTTGTTGCTGTGTCTAGGTGCCGACCTCAGTGGTGTTTCTGTTATGTTTCTTTGTTCCTCTCTCCTATACTTTCCCGTGTAACTAATCACGGACACGTGATATAACATTTTTGACGACAGACAGCCGGCTGTTGGCTCTCCGGAACGATGTCCATCCGTTGCAGATCAGCTGGCCTGCCTCGGTTGTATGATTGCATCACAATGGCTGAGGTGTTTCACATCTCTAGCTAATGTGTTTAACGACAGGGATAAATGCAATAAACTCAATGTTCCCTAGCCATCGATTTTTCTCTGCAGGATCCTCGCATTGTGCTAGTCCTTTTCTGTATCCACTTAGATGGCCTACGATTTACTTATCGCCTAACTTTGACAGAAAGTCACGTTACCTGGATAGTTATGCACTCGAAACTGGTTTCGTTTTGCTTGATGGGCCTTGATAGCGGCTCTTTGACACCGTTTTTGCTGAATAAAGAAACTCGATTGTCATGCTCTTAGTATGAATTTATTTTCGGCTCTTGACCTTTATGGATCAGTCATGCTGTCCAGCAGTATTTCCACCAACGACGCACGTTTCTCATTGTGCAATTGATGCGAAGAATCTATCATCATTCGCATACAATAGCTGATTTGTAATCATGTGTTGACGAAGTGTAAGCGCCTCACTTGTACTTGTCTGCTTAGGATTTACATAGCCACATCTCTTTTCATTCCGATTATGTGATGGCGAAGTTTGTGCCTTATGATTGTCTACCAATGCTAGCGTCTATGATGATGGTACTACTCCGCTTTTGTGGCACCTGGTCTGGTTAGTACGAAACTTTGTTCCATTCGCTTTCCCAGATTGGTATTCCGCCTGCCCCTCGCGGTGTTCCACAAATTGAGGTCACTTTTGATATCGACGCAAATGGCATTGTCAATGTGTCCGCAAGGGATAAAGGTACGGGCAAGGAGCAGCAGATTGTTATTCGATCGAGCGGTGGATTGAGCAAGGACGAAATAGAGAATATGGTGCGCAACGCCGAACAATACGCAGAGACCGATAAGCGACGACGCGAGCTTGTGGAAGTTATCAATCAAGCAGAAGGTATCGTGCACGATACTGAAAGCAAGATACACGAATACAAAGATCAGCTACCTGCGGATGAAGTAAGCACGAATCTCATCTTTTACTTCCATAGTTTCTTACACTCTCAGTTACTGTTTACCTCTTCCGTTTCTGATGTGATTAACGTAAGGCATAATTCCAGCTACGTGGTGATCGGATTTCGTTTTTTTGTCCCACACTTAGGGATTGCCGCCTCACTCCTTGTCCAGGTTGATCTATTGTCTGCTGACCTGTTCCTGTGTTCTGTGTAGCCTGGCAATGAACGTGCAACAAATCGTTTCTTTGTCTTCCTCTTTGATTAACCTAATATTCTTGTTAGGCATCCTTACCACAATATTACTTATTGTCTCAAGTTACCCTCTCTTAATCAGGGTTAGCCATTTGCACTTTTTTTCCACATTTGAACTCGTTTGTTATTTGGGTATCACCAATGCTGACGATATTTCTGATCTATCATTAGTAACAAAGCTCAGAATGTACTTCCATATCCCCTTTAATTACTTAGTTTCAAGAATTTTCCTACATCAATTTTACTGTGTTTTGGATTTTTTCATCATAGGCTATATTTCAACCATGCTAACTGCACTCTTACCGTCAACAGCCACTTAGCAGTCTGCATTGTATCGTCCCATTTTCGTACACGTAGGCAGATATGTTCACGGACTGCATTTACACACAGATTTGAGCGCGCATCGTTAAAAGCTTTCTACAGTTGCATAGTCTACCTGCGGGTAACACTTTTGCATCATACAACTCGAAGGCGCAGGCTGTGAATCTGTTGAAAGCTTTTATCGATGCGCATCCGAATTTGCAATTCAACTCCGAGCATGAGTTCGGAAGTTGACTACCGTTTCTGGACGTTGTTATTTGCATTAGTCGCAATGTTTTCGGGCACATGTTTATTTTTCTACCCTTACGTGTTAACATGAATTCAGTTTGGATCTCTTTCTGTCCGCTTCAGGTAGCGGTTTGTGGTGTATCATTTGATTCTAGTCATACTTTGATGCACACACGATTGTCGCAAACCAGCTTTAAAGAAACGCCATTCTTGAAGTTCCCCACTCGTATTTTGAATCCAGTCTTTAATCGCAGCCAATCAATTGATCGCCTGGCACTCTAGTAGTGCGCATGGGCCGAATACTCACGGAAATAGCCTTAAATATGCATTAAAGGATCGTTCTGATGCACATGTGTGTACAATTTGTGCATGGGTCTCTAAATTTTTTATTTGAAGCTCTTAAGTTGATCCTGTGTAAGGAACCAAATTTGGTTTCCGAGTGTACTTCCGAAGGTTCACTCACTGAAGTCGCAACAGAAATCGCAACTTTTCTGTTGCTCACCTTCATCACTTCTAAACTGGCTTGTGTTCTGCTTATCTTTATAAAGCAAGTTGTGGTTTGACTTTCGTCATGAGATTTAGAAGACTGCTTATAAGGTGGGATTTAACCATCTAATCGATTTTTGACCACCAGTGCTTGCGTTCCATCTTTCATGTCTAGCAGAAGTGCCAAGTTAGCTTTGGTAGTGCTCAAATTTCTCTTATTCGCTTATCGAGTTCTAATCGTTCACATGTCTGTCAGCTGTCTAGCCTTCCGTGCGCTGTTTTTCCGCACAACCTACTGTTGTTTGAATGCACAAAGTGTTAACCAATAATAAGCCAGATGGTGTGATTTCACCAGTGCATGCCGTCTTTCTAGAAGACAGTCTTAGAATTAACCACATCAACATCTCGATACAGTTCCCGACTTCGCTACCGCGCTTTTATTGACACAAAGTAAACGTTTCTGCTCAGTAGGAACGATACGCCTCGGTTCATGGCATGACCAGCAACTGACAAAGATACTGGGACAATATTTTCTTAAAACGATATCAAAGAAATAGTTAAGATCACTAGTCTGCTATGCTTTGACATACTACAAATGACTTCGTGTGCCTTATGATTGAATTTGCGATATCAATCGGTTGCTGCAAAGTTATAACATCGGCTGTTGTGCAAATATAAGATCATGGTATACTTGGGATAATGATACGCAAATAATTGATTGAGTATACAAGTGATTAGCTTTTTGCTCTTTTGCCTTAAGTGTTTTTGCTCCATAGACTTCCCACGCTCCCCCAGCGTGTCGTTTTCTTTGCTGACGATGCGCAGCTGTCTTTAGAGAAAGTTCTCAACTGTCAGTCGCTTGAGGCGGAGTTTCACTCCCAGTTTCGGCTGTGTCTGAATTTCGTTGTACAGCTGTTCGGTGTTTTTCGAAAGAGCAACGCGGAAATTCTCTCCACTTCCTTACTGTTTTCGCGACAGCTATAGTCGAATGGGATTTTAATTCCATTGGGTTATAATCCGCCATTTGTAATCCTCCATTGGCGCTTATGCTACGTGTATTTATAGCAAAACGAGCAGTAGCTGACTGCTTTTACGACTTTCTTTTTGTCTGTTTCTAGTGACTAATGACTTCGTTCTCCGTTGTGTCCTTGAACCAGTTTTGATTATGTGACATTGTTTATTCAACAAAGTGGCTGGCTGGGCTGCTGTTCCATCTACTTCCGAACCACAATCTTTTATCGGTTGTTCGCTGCTTTGTTCTCTTCACATAGCGTGAAAAGCTTACGAAGCAGATTGAGGATCTTCGAAGTCGATTGAACAATAAAGAAAACGAAACGATTGAGTCGATACGAGCGGCCACCAATGAGCTTCAACAGGCTTCTCTCAAACTGTTCGAACTCGCCTACCGAAAAGTATGTTTGGACATTATTCTTACCACTCACTTTCTTTTATAGATGGCAAATGATCAGGGCTCTGGTTCAAAATCCAGTGAATCCTCAGAGAAAGAAGAGAAGTCCTAACGACAACTGCTTTTTATCTGAGTGGTAGTCAGTTCATAAGAATCATCCTGTAACTAATTTCTTTCTAATGAATTTCACTCATCTGCATCCGCCTTTTGTTTGTCACAAGGCAGCCAGCGTATCTGGAGGTTCGTTTCGCTTCCTATTTCAGGCGTACCACTTCCATCGCACTAAATGTTCTACCAGACTATTTATCACGAGAATTTGTCGTTAGGCATTTGGTAATCTCGCGTTTATTACGTGATTAGTGCCGGCGTCTTTTAAGCTAACCGTGATCAACAAGCCTCCCTTTTCCGGCTACTCCGCTTAATAATCTGTCTCGACTTCATTTGAAACAAGATCAGCAACCAAAGATCCCTAACACCAGCCTCACTTACATGCGTTGTTTCTTTGATCATAATACTATTGCGCGGTTCACTTCAATTATTAGCAAGGACGCAATCACCCAAGAACAGTTCATCATCTCACTGCTGATCTAATATAGTATCGTTCTTGGAGTCCAATGTTCATGAACTTTGCGTCCTTGATCATTTTGAACTGCAGCACATTTTGAAATATTTGCTGTCTTAACCGCAAGTACTATGCAATGTAACAATAATGTCAGCTGTACGCCGTAACGGCGCTCCGCTACTGCACGACCACCACCAGTCGCGCGTGGGCTGAGTATACCGCGAGGACGCCCACCTCTACGCGTATTCGAACCTGTGAACTTCTAGGTGCAAACCAGGCCTGCAGACCACTCACCCACCGGCCGACACAAATAATATCTGACTCGGTCTAAATTTGTAACTAACATTTGTACTGGTATGCTGCTTGGTGTGAGTGTAGCGACAGCCTCAGCATTGGGAAGTGACCGGCATGTGAAATGTGGTAGGTCATGATGAGATCGGTTCGTAACCTGGCCTGGGCAGCCAGGAGGCTTTCTGTTCACATCATAAACCCTTGTATCTCTTCTTTTTACGGTTTCCTCTTTGTTTCGTTGTTACCACTGTGTTGTGGCACTCAACTTGCACCTGACGATAAGACGAGTTGTGTAGCCGTTAGTCTCGGGCCAGTAAGCGCCTTCAAAGTTAACCACCTGGGCTGCCTGAGTGCCTGGTGGACTTGTTCGACAGCGCAGTTGGAATCAAGACAAGTACTCCCGATGCTTTAAGTTCAAAACAGTCTGTCCTTCAGTATCCTGCATGTAAATCGATGCAAAGGCTTGTTTTGACTAACTCTTCCACTGCTATAAACCCTATGGTCAGCGCGCAAGTGAAGAACCTACTCGACTGTAACTACGACGCGCATCGGCTTGCACACGGCCTTCGAGAGAACATTCAGGTACTTCCGGATATGAACGGACTGGTTGGTTCGGCGGAGTGGTACGGTACCTTTGCGGATCGGTGTACACGTTCCTTATGAAGATGACAATATGTCTCGGTTCTTCGCAAGCGAGATGAGTAAGCAGTCGCGAACAACCAGCGGCAACGTCATAGAGCGTGGGAAGTTCCGCCCTGTTGACCTTGTTCCTCATTAACTACCACAGGAGCTTATAAGACGCTGTGTCGAAGCCAATGTGACCCACTATAGGGTCACTTCTGCGACCAGAAGTGAGTACTTAACGGAGGGCCACCGGCTTCTGCAAAGGTGCATGGGCTACCTGGCTACCAACGGCCTTCGTGCTCTTCCGCAATTTCCGTGATCCAGGCAATTTATCCTGACCTCTATGTTACTTAATCCGGACTTTCTGGTTGTCCTGAGTAGTTTGTTCATACTCGAAAGCCGTGTATCATCATCGTGGCAGCCGGCCTATAACGGCATGCAGTATACGTCAATCGCCCCGCTGCCTTGTGTGTCACATCTTTAAGACCCTCTTTCTCTGCGTTGCATCTAATGTGCTCGCCACCATCCTTTTAAATAGTCCCAGCCTGGTGCACGAACAGAACAAGCTGGGTTCCGCTGTGGACGGAGTTGTATCGACCACATCATTGTTCTCTGCCAAATACACAAGCGTAGTCAAACGTTCGGCTGGCCAGCGATCGTTGTCTTCTTAAACACTCGAGCGGCAGTTCATTTCAGTTGATCAACTATGATCCGACCATCGAAGTTCGGTGGATCCAGTCGACACGACTAACACCGTAAGAATAATAATAACACTGGTGGGATAGTGGGGTGGGGTGTAAATACAATGTAGCGAAAATGAATGTCTTAAACTAATCATAGGAGAACGGGGACAGGATACAAGAAGCCGAATGCACGGACGCCACTGACTTCGTGATTGCGCCATTGTCTGACACGATCTCCAACCATTCGTGTGGACCGTCTCAGAGGACGGCACGCACTAGCCTGACCAAGTCTCAGTCAATTTCCTCAGACTGGCCACCTCGAGGTTTTGCCCAACTTGGTGCAGCCGCGGTGTATAATGTACGCCGAGGAAGCCGATTAACGGACCTACGGAGGATATGACCTAGCCAACTCAAGCGACTAAGATTTCTCAAACACTCGAGAGAGGCAGCGGAAGGCTTCTTGCTAGAAACCAACTTGCGGACCTCAGCATTGCTTACTTGGTGTTCCCGCCAAACCTGAGCAATTCTTCGCAAGCGTCCGTGATCAAACGCAGCCAAGCGTTTAATATCTTCATTGCGAACTGGCCATTTCTCTGATCTACACAGTAACACTGGCGTTATCGCAGCGTTATACACCTTACCTTTCACTGACAAGCTTATATCCCGCCATCTCCATCGATTGCTGACCCTCTAGGAAACCGCTCGGGCCTTGCGAAGTAACCTCTTCAGTGTTGTGACGACCAGAGGTGACACGACTACCAAGGTAAGTGAACCCTACCAACAGTGTTCATGGGTGTTCGGAAATAGCTACAACCGGTGTGTTGCTGCAGCCTTGCAACAGCACTTTGCGCGGTGAGGGTGCAAAATACATGCCCAACCGTGCAGCGCTACACACAAGTCTGTGCGGTATTGTTTGCGTACTCAATGCATCAGACCCAAGGCGAGCTATGTCGTCCGCATATTCCAGGTTTGTCAGTTAGTCACCTTGAAGAACTTCCAGAATTGTCTGCAATAACCGAATCATTTCGATCGCCAGGTTATGAGGAAAGATATAGGAAACCCTGTCGAACTCCACTTGTTGTGGGGAGCGTATGAGAGAGCTTACCCTAGATCCTTACACGGCCTCGGGGGTTACGGTAGAAGGATTTTAGAATGAAAAGGAGTTAAGCTGGAACGATCTCCATGGATAGACAGTACCACAACATAGCGCGGTCAACATTGTCGAAGGCGGTTTTCAAGTCAAGAAAAACCACCACGGTCCATCGTCTGTATGTGTCTATGCTGTAAAACTTGGTAAAGAGTAAATCTGTACTCGATGCAGCCAGAGCGGAAGTCAGCCTGGCTTTCACTGATTCGGTTCTCACGGGGTCTAGTAATTCGTCGAAAAATGGTATCCTTGTTAAGTTTTGACGCAATGGAAATAAAGCTAATACCTCCGTGATTTTCGTACAAAGTATGCTGACCCCACTTAATGTTTGACAAGACAGTTGGTAGTCACCCGTCTGAAGGGACTTCTTTAGTGTCCCAAAACGTGTTGAAAAGAGAAGCGTGTCCAGTAAATAAATAGCCACTACCATCTTTCAGCAAAGATGTAGAAGGTAATCGGGTCCCTGAGTCTTGTTTCGTTTTAACAATGTAATGTCATGTGGAATCTCATTGCAAGTTGGTGTACCATGTACTTCCTACGTCGGCTCAGGTTATTCGGCAAGCAGCAGTGTCGCAGCACGCCTACTCCTCAAAATGTTCCGCCCGACGAGCTAGTGCACGACGCCGACAATAGATTGTGTCCATCTTCCTCAGCTATTGTCTCGCTAACGGATGGCTTTCTTTGACGCGCGTTCCGGATGAGCTGGAATAGCATCCGTCTATTCCCAGTAGCGCCATCCTTCTGCATCTCACGGGCGTTTACAATCTACCCAATGTTCTCGGTCAAGCCGAAGGTTCCTTGTCAGGCGTCGTTACTGGGTATTACAGTCGCACTGAAATCCATTGCCTATTGGAACGTGTTTATGCGTTTCGATCGAACTGGTCGATGCCTCATAGATCCATTCACATTTACTTCTCAAGCCAGGTACACAGCAAGCGTCAAAGGCATTCTTCAGGACACACTTGAGACGAACACAGGTAGCTTTCGGCTCACCAACCTCATACATGGCTGACAATTTGTGGGCCAGTTCCTTAGGATATTGTGGAACCGCAGACCGCGAGTACAAGTTAGAGATTAGCTTTTTGGTGTGGGAAGAGAGCGCCAACCGTGCGCACACTCGATCATTGTCGGAATCCAGGCATGTGCTTCAAATTGACCGGCAGTTTTGAACTGATGTGCACCATCTGTAGTTGCTGGCAATATGGTCAATCTGGGTCCAGGTCTTCGAGGAATTCGGTGGGTCCTACGTATCACGATGTGAACGTTTGTGTTGGAAAGCAATGCTGCTAATATGTAGATTGTGGTCAGCTCACAGTTGCAGGAATTGATCACCGTTGGCTGTTCGACGTTCATCGACTCGATTACGCCCTTCCAGATGTTGTTCAGAGTCTGAAAGGCGACGCACTTCGCATTCAAGTCCCCAACAACAACCACGATGTCCGCATTCTTCGCCATACGAAGGAGAGATGAATGATGGGGGGAGAAATCATCTTTGGAACCCTATGAACTGCAGTCAGTAGGAGCATAAACTGAGTGGATGAACAGGCACCTTGTCTTCATACGGTGCTTAGTAAGTCTGATATAGGTTCAGAGACGAACCACGCACATGCGGCTGCTCATTGGTATGCAGTCGAGTAGATTGCCTAACATGCCTGCTGAGGCCGATACCAACACTGTAAATACCTTGATCCATCCATACCTTGCTCCATCGCCAGATACGCGAAGAGTATGTTGATTGTCGACAGATTCAGTACCAAGGGGTTGAAGATTTGTCACAACGCTGTTATCTTGTATTCGTGTTTCGGAAGTACAGCACACATCAATACCACGAGAGTGCAGAGTGAGGCTCAGTGAGGCCCTTTGACTGACCTGACTCAGATCGCGGAGGTT